GAAAATGACCTTTTAAGTGAATGAAAAACAGAATAAATCAGCAGGAGTAACTATTTTAATATCAACAAAGCAGTCTTCAAACCATCAAAAGTTAAAAAGGACATGGAATGATATGACATAATGATAAAAAACTCAATTCTCCAGTAAGAAATATTCATCCTAAACATATTTGCACCCAACACAGGAGCAACCAAGTTTTTTGAGACAACTGCTAAGCAAACTAAAAGAGGCCATTGACTCTTACTCTTACTCAACCATAGTTGAAGACCTAAATATTCAACTAACAAGTTTTGAACAAGGAGATCTGGAACCTCAACTCAGTTCTCAATAAAATGGACTTAATAAACATCTACAGAACACTTCACCCAACAAGTACAGATTATACTTTCTACTCATCAGAACATAGCCCAAGATCAATCACATTCTCAGGCATAAATCAAACATAAGCAAGTTTCAAAAGATAGAGATAGTGTTATGCATCTTCTCAGATCACAGTAGAATAAAAATAAATATTGTCACCAAGAAGAACCCCCAAACATACACAGACAAAGACTCTAAACAACATGTTGTTGAACAACTTCTAGGTCAAGATAAAAATCAAGACATAAATAAAAAGATTACTGAAACCAAATGAAAACAAAGACACACCTTAGCAGAATCTCTGGGATGCCATGAAAGCAGTGTTAAGACGAAAATTCATAGCATTGCATGAACAAATCAAGAAAACAGAAAGATCCCAAGTGGACAACCTAATGTCACACCCAAAGGAGATGGAATGGCAATGTCACCTAGGTCCTATCCTCAGAAAAAGAATCCAGATAACCAAAATAAAGTCAGATTTACAGGAAATGGAAGACAAAAATATCATAGAAAGGATCAACAAGACCAAAAGCTGATTCTTTGAAAGGATAAATAAGATTGATGGTCTTTGGCCAGACTGACTTTTTTTGAAAGAGAGAGAAAACCTAGATAAACAAAATTAGAAATGTAAAAGGAAAAGTCACAACTGACCGTGAAGAAATTTAAAAGATTTTCAGATATTACTATAAAAGCCTATATGCAAATAAACTAGAAAACAAAAAGGAAAGGGAGCACTTTTGACATCATAAAACCTCCCATGGTTGAAATGAAAAGAAATTAAAACACTAAACAGACCAATAAAAATCCAGGAAATTGACTCAGTCATGAGGACTCTTGCTACCAAAGAACACCCTGGACCCGTTGGCTTCCTAGCTGAATTCTACAAGACATACAAGGAGGAGCTGATATCAATCCTATTGAAAGCATTCCAGGCAATCAAGAAAGATGGAATTCTATGAAAATAATTTTATAAAGCCAACATCATGCAGGTACCAATGACAGGCTAATCTCCTTGATGAACATAAATGCAAAAATTATCAATAAGTTTCTAGCAAATCAGATCCAACAACACATCTCAAAGATAATCCACCATGACCAAGTGGGCTTCATTCCTGGGATGCAGGACTGGTTCAGCATTCACCAAACTATAGATGTAATTCAGCATATCAACAGATGTAAAACAAAGAACCACATGATTATGTCATTAGGTGCAGAAAAAGCATTCAATAAAATCCAACATCCATTCTTGTTAAAAATACTTGAGCACCTAGGCATAAAAGAAACATTCCTGAAAATAGTTACAGCCATCTATAATAAACCCGCAGCCAACATTTTGCTCAATGGGCAGAATTTGGAAGCATTCCCCCTGAGAATGGGAACTAGACAATGATGTCCACTTTCACCCTTCCTGTTCAACATAGTGCTAGAAGTCCTAAGGCAGAACAATGAGGCAAGAGAAGGAAATCAGGGGTCTCCAAATAGAAAAAGAGGAAGTAAAGATTTCCCTCTTACAGATGATAGGATTCTATACATTGAAAACCCTAAAAAACTTCCTCACACTGATAATCAACTTTGTTTAAGTCTCAGGATACAATATCAATGTGCAAAAGATGGTTGCATTTCTACACACCAGCAACAAGTAGGCAGAGAACAATATAAAAATACCAATCCCATTCACAGTCGCCACATACACGCAAAAGAAATACCCTGGCATTCACCTAGTCAGAGAAATGAAAGACTTTTATAAGAACTAGAAAATCTTCCTCAAAGAAATCAAGGATGACACAAACAATTGAAAAACATTCCATTTTCATGGATTGGAAAAAAATCAATATTATCAAGTTGTCCATCCTATCCAAGGCAATCTACAGATTCAAAGCAATGCTCATCAAGTTACTAATGTCATTTTCTCAGATCTTGAAATAACAATATAGAAATTCATATGGAAACAAAAAAACCAGCACGAATAGCCAAAACAATCGTCAGCAAACAACAAAATGGAAGGTATCGCACTTCCAGACTTTAAAATTTGTGACAAGGCTACAAATGACCAAAACAGCCTGGTATTGGTACAGAAATAGGCACACAGAAAAGACAGAAACAGTACAGAGTTTCCAGAAGAAAAACCACAGTCTCTCAACCAACTTATCTTCAACAAAGCCACCAAGTAAAATCATTGGATAAAGGAGACCATATTTAGCAAACAGTGCTGGGAAAACTTGCTGACCACATGCAAAAAATGGATGCCTACTTCTCACCACATACAAAAAGCAACTCAAAATATATCAAAGACAAACATAAAGCTGCAAACTTTAAGAATCCTAAAAGAAAACGTAAGAAACACCCTTATGCACATCAGAGTAGTCTACGAATTATTGACCAAGTCCCCAAAACAAATGCCATAAAAACTAAAATAGACAAGTGGGACATCATCAATCTGAAAAGCTTTTGCATAGCAAAAGAAACCATCAAAAGAGTAGCAAGACAACCCACAGAATGGGAAAAAAATTTACAAATTATGCATCTAGCAAAGACCTAACATCCAGGATCTATAAGTAACACAAAGGAAGTGAAAGGAAAAAACAAACAGACAGCCCCATTAAAAAATAAATGAAGGACATGAACAGGTATTTCGCAAAAGGCAATATACAAGCAGCCAACAGATACATGAGAAAATGCTCAACTTCACTAATCATCAGAGAAATGCAAATCAAAACTACAATGAGATACTACCTAACTCTGATAAGGGTGACTATCATTAATAAGTGGGAGACCCGCCTGGGCAGCGAGACCTCATCTCTACAACAAATCAAAAAATCAGCCAGGCATGGTAGCGCGCACCTGTAATTTCGGCTACTCAGAAGCTGAGGCGGAAGGATTGCCGGAGCCCAGCAGGTCTAGGCTGCAGTGGCCGGGAGCGGCCACTGCACTCCAGTCTGGGTGACAGAGTGAGATTCCAACTCAAAAAAATAAAAAAATAAAAATAAAATAAGTGGGAAAACAACAGATGCTGGCATAGGTGCAGAGAAAAAGGAGCACTTCTACACAGCTGGGAATGCAAGTTAATTTAACCTCTATGGAAAGCAATGTGGCATTCCTAAAAGAAATGAAATTTAACCTTTCATAGAATCCAGCAATCACCCTTCTGGGAATATATGCAGAAGAACACAAATTGCTCTACCAAAAAGATACTTGCACATGCATGTTTACTGCAGCACTATTCACAATAGCAAAAACGTGGATCCAACCCTACTGCCCATTGAAAGAGTACTGGATAAAGAAAATATGGTATATATACACGATGGAGTATTAAGCAGCCATAAAGAAGAATAAAATCATGAACTTTGCAGCAAATTGGATGGACTTGGAGACCATTGTGCTAAGTGATCTGTCACGGAAACAAAGAACTGAATATCACATATTCTCACTCATAAGTAAAACCTGAACATGAGTCATAGTAGCATGAGGAAGGGATTGGCAGTCACTGGGCACTGCTAGGGGAGGAAGGGAGTAAGAAGTGTGAGGATCACATGACAACAGAAAAGTTATCTGACTTTCTACAGGGGGAGTGAGGACGACCTAGATGTCCAAACATTACCTGCATGCAGCCTACTTATGTAGTTAATCCTCACTTGTACCCCACTTCTCTATAATAAAATAAAATTGTATTAAGAAAAGATTCATAGGGGATTCGGGTTAAGAAACAAAGACCACTGGAAGTGACAGAACATGGAACAGAACCAAGATGTCATTTCTTTTCTTTTCTCTTAAGATTACACATTTGTCAACTGCATCCTGTCTGCAGCTACTAATACAGTTATGGATAACAATATGACCAAATTGCTTTTGTTTGGGTTGACTTAGGATACTGGCACAAGGGAGGGATCAGCAATCTCTGGACACTGCCAGGGGAGGGAGGGAAAGATGGGGACACATAACAGCACAAATGGTACCTGGTCCTAAATCAGGGGAAATGAGGACCAGTTGGAGGCCCAAATTTCATCTGCATGCAGCCTACTTGTGTAGCTAACCCCGACTTGTAACACAAATCTCAAAATAACTAACAAACAATATAAAGGAGTATAACCAATGTTATGACATTGCCAAAGAAGTTTCTCAAGATGTTTATAATGTGGGCTCTGGGAGAACTTTAGCAAGTTTAACCTATAGATGATGGATAAATTTAAAATTTTTGCAAGGTATCACAGTAAGTACACAGGAGTCGCAGCTATTGTGCTTGACACTACGTTGGAGTAGAAATGATTTCATTTAAATAAATTGCAAAATTATTCACACTATATTGAACCATACTATACCTCTGTAGACCATAATATTCAAAGGATATGAGTTTTAGACTTCTTCTCATGGTAAGTTAAATAATTAAACTCAAAATAAGTAAAGAATTGTTTTCATATAGAATAGATACTAACCAATTAATTTTTCTAGGACTTCTATCAAGTAAAACATTTTCAATTTCAATCTTTTTTTTTTTTTACTAAAGCCATTTGTCTTCCAGGTGTCAATTTAAAAAATAAATTAACTAAAATGGTAACTGAGATCCATGATTTCAAGCAAATCATGACTTTAGAGCAGTAGATTTGTCCGTTAAAAAGAGGCACTATGTTATCTCGGATACTTAGGGATTACAAATAAACAGATACTTAAATAGCAATTTTAGGAAAGAAGATTCTCCTAATTATTTGTTGCATGGCAAGAATTACATCTTTGTTCCTCAAACTGTAGATCATCGGGTTCAACACTGGGCTCAAAAAACTATAAAAGACTGCAATTACCTTGGACTCCTCTACAGACTTCTCTGATGGAGGCCTTAAATACATGCAGAAGAGGGTTCCATAAAATATAGTGACTGTCATCAGGTGAGACCCACAAGTAGAAAAGGCTTTTTGCCTGCCTTCAGCAGAACGGAGTCTCAAGATGGCTCCAAAAATAAAAAAGTATGATAGAAGAATGATGAAGAGAGAACTTGACAGAGTAAAGCCAGCAACTACAAACATGGCCATCTTCTTGACGTAGGTGTCAGAGCAGGCCAGCAGTATAAGAGGAGGATCAGCACAGTAGAAATGATTGATTTCCAAGGAACCACAGAAGGATAAGTGAAATGTTAGCAGTGTCTGAGACAGTCCATTAAAGAAGCCATACATATAACAGACTGTGACTAGAGAGATACAAATATTCTTGGACATCTTGGAACTGTAATGTAGAGGGCTGCAGATAGCTGCATAGCGATCCAGAGCCATCGAAGCAAGTATGTAAAACTCAGTGATCACCAGGGCAATGAACAGAAGACATTGTGTGAAGCATGCAACATAGGAAATGGTCTTGTGGTCTGAGAGAAAGCCATACAACATATTTGGAGTGATATTGGAAGAATAGCAAATGTCTACAAAGGAGAGGTGGCCAAGGAAGAAGTACATGGGAGTTTGGAGGTGAGAATTGGTCTTGATCAGCAGGATCATGCACAGATTCCCAGCCAGTGTGATGAGGTAGATCACCAGAAACAACCCAAACAGTATCTTCTCTAGCACTGGGTCCTCTGTTAGTCCCAAGAGAGTGAATTCTGTCACCACTGTGTGGTTTCGGAAGAACATTTTCTTATTCTTTAAAACTAAAAGTGACAAAGACAGCAAGGATTTCTGTGTGATCCAGATTCTGCATTTATTTTGTCCATTTGTCATTTACTCATATCTATTGTCTATGAAACAATAACTTTTCTCTTTTAAACAAACATAGCATAATATCCACATAACGTTTTTATCCTATGTTTCTGTATTACCTCTCACTGTCTTTCTATATCTCAACCCCCATACACACGTTGTCTTTCTCATACATGCATATATGTATATATTAACATATTCTTATCTTTATACCTGTCTTCTTGAAGAACTTCACACTTAGAAATTTCTTCAACCTTATAAGGAAAACAGAAAAAAATTAAAGGAATTAAAATCAGATATAAAACAATAAGTTATATGTATCATTTGAATGGATAAATTAATGTAGTCCAATCTCTTGGGTACTTTCAGCTCTGATATTTTACTGTTTCCAATTCATAGAAGATAAAATTCAGTTTTTAACTTTTAATCAGGCTTAATTTCATTTAGAGAACATTAAATTAGTGAAATATATCTCAACATATGGTAAGAAGGTACAGAATCAAAAATTGTTTTTTCTGCTCCCTAACTTCATACACCCATTATTCATGTACACTACAAAGCTTGATTTGGGATTTTTGTTGTTGTTGTTCCCATTTCTGGGATTACTTCGGTGAAAAAATTTCTCACTTTCACAGACCATACATTATAGTAAAGAGAACATATATTAGTCACAACAACTTGGATGAATTTAGAGTCTTTAATACTCAGTGATTTATCACAGAAACAAAGAACTGAGTACCACATCTGCTTAATCATAAGTGGACCCTGAACATTTGCCATCATACTATAAGAAAGGGCTGGGAAGTAGAGGGAAACTGCTGGGTGTGGGAGGGATGGGAAGAGCATAGAACATCAATAAGTATACCTGATCTGAAACCAGGTGAAGCGGAGACCAACGGGAGACCCAAACTTTACCGTACGATGATCACTTGTATAGCTAATTCTGAATTTTACCCCACATTTTAAAAATAAAAAAAGAATAAACTAGGCTCGGTGGCTCAGCCTATAATCCCGTGCCTTGGGAGGCTGAGGTGAGTGGATTGCCTGAGCCCTCCGGTTCAAGACCCGTGGGCAGGCGAGACCTCAGCTCTACAACAAATCAAAAAATTAGCGCGCGCCCGTAGTTCCAGCTACTTGGAAGGCCGAGGCGGAAGGATCGCCGGAGCCCAGCAGGTCGAGGCTGCGGTGACCGGGAGCGGCCACTGCACCCCAGTCTGGGCGATCGAGTGAGACTCCAACTCAAAAAAAAAAAAAAGAATATTGAGAAAAAAAGTCCTGTAATCCCAGCACTTTGGGAGGCAAGTGGATTGCCTGAGTCTGCAGATTCGAGAGCAGCCCAGGCAACTTGGCAAGGCCGCATCTCTACAATAAATCAAAAATTAGCTGGGCATGGTAGCACATGCCTGCACTTCTGGCTACTTGGAAGTCTGAGGTGAAAGGATCGCCAGAGCCCAGCAGGTCGACGCTGAGAGTGAGCATGTCACTGCACTTCAGCCTCGGTGACAGAGTGAGACTTCAACTCAAAAAAAAAAAAAGTTCCAAGAGAAATCTGCTCTTTATTAAAAGAGAGAGAGAGAATACAACTTCAAGTAAATGTGGGCTATATGGAAAAAATGAACGTGGTATGCTTTTTGCATGCCCACTCAGAGAAGATCTCTCTGGGAATGCAGCATCTGAACAGTAAGTAAACAATTCCACTATTCAGGGAAGAGTATCAATTTTTTGGTCTTCATTACTGTGCCACTAACCCACTCACACAAATATTTGTCTAGGGAAGCACAGATAATGTTTAAAAGTAGCCTTAGCTTCCAGTTCTCTCAGTTCTTGTGAAAGTAATATATGACTGCAAAAATTACTCCTCAGAAATTGTACCATAAAGTTATTTTGTTATCACATACACATCAAAAGTGCTTGCATATAATAATTGATATTTTATATAATTAGTGAAATATTAGCATATGTGTAGAAAAGTCAAGTTGATGAAAATATGTGTTACCTCCATTGATAGGATACTACTCTACACACACACACAAAATATGTAGTTTTGTGAACAAATGTGAAAAATGACCTACCTGTTGAATCATCATACTTTATATTAACAAGATGGAAAGTTTTATAATATATTTGTTAGGTTTATTCCCTAAAGTATTTTAAAACTAATTCTAAAGAATCAGTTAGAATGTTCTTTGTTCCCCAAGTGCATACTCTTAATTTGATGCTTTGAGGAACCAGATTCTCCTTTGAGAATGAAATCCCTATTTAGCCTTTATGTACACTGCTTGTTACACGTTATGAGACCTTTAGCACAAATAGAGAAATTACCCAACACTTTCAATAATGTGGAAGAAAAAAATAAGGGTAGTTCATTTTTACAAAGTCAATATACAAAAACCATTAATATAATCACATAAAAAAACACACAAGTAGAACATATAATTTAAAATTTTCACTTATAACATCAAAAATATAAACTTCTTAGAAATAGATATAATAAAAAATGTGCAGAAGACACATGCTGAAAACCAGAAAATCCTGCAGAGGTAAACTAAATAATAATACCTAGGCCAAGCAATGTGGCTCACACACTTAATCCCAGCAGTATGGGAGACTGAGGTGAGAGGATTGTCTGAGCCCTCAGGTTCGAGACCGGCCTGGGAAACTTGGTGAGACCTCATCTCTACAGTAAATCAAAAGATTAGCTGGGCAGGCTGGTGCATGCCTGTAGTTTCAGATTCTTGGAAAAGTAAAGTGAAAGGATCACCTGAGTACAGCAGGTCGAGGCTGTGGTGGACTTGAGCATGCCACTGCCCTCTAGCCTAGAGGAGAGAATGAGACTCCAACTAAACAAAGTAAATAAATAATAAATAATAACACCTGAATAATGACAATATATATCTCATTTGTGTCTTGGAATAGTAAACATTGTCAATATGTTAATTCATCCAAAATTGATCATTTTTTTTTATTATAAAGATGTGGGAGAGCCGGGCTCAGTGGCTCAGCCTGTAATCCCATGCCTTTGGGAGGCTGAGGTGAGTGGATTGCCTGAGCTGGCGGGTTCGAGACCCACCTGGGCAGCGAGACCTCATCTCTACAATAACAAAAAATCAGCCGGGCGTGGTAGCGCGTGCCTGTAATTCCGGCTACCCGGAAGACTGAGGCGGAAGGATCGCCGGAGCCTGGCAGGTGGAGGCTGTGGTGGCCGGGAGCGGCCACTGCACTCCAGTCTGGGCGACAGAGTGAGACTCCAACTCAAAAAAAAAAAAAAAAAAGATGTGGGCTACAACTTAAGGTTCAGTATACAAACGGTGGTTATGCAGGTACCCTTGTTGATGAGGTATACCCCTCCCTCCCCTAGCAATTTCCCTCAACTGCCAATCCCACACCCCTCCCCTGACAGTTTCCCACTACTGTCAATCTCTTTCTAGAAGTATTATAATTGTTCAAAGTCCACTTATTGAGTGAGAACATATGATACTCTGTTCTTTGTTTCTGTGATAGATCACTGAGTATGCACGACTTTAAATCCATCCAAGTGCTGCTGTTTGTCTTTCTTTATGACTGCATAATATCCCATTGTGTATATGTACCACATTATTTTTATCCAGTCCAGTTTCAATAGGCAACATATACAGGCAGCCAACAGACACATGAAAAAGTGCTCAGCTGCACTCATCATCAGATAAATACAAATCAAAACCACATTGAGATATCAACTAACCCCAGTAAGAACGGCCATCATTAATAAAACACATCAACAGATGCTGGCAAGGATGTGAAGAAAAAGGAACGCTTCTATACTTGGTGGGGATGCAAACTAGTGCAACCTCTCTGAAAGACAGTGTGGTGATTTCTGAAAGAAGTAGAAATTGACCTTCCATATGACTCAGCAATTCCCCTATTAGGAATATACCCGGAGGAACTCAAATCACTCTACAGAAAAGATGCCTGCACATGTATATTTGTTGCAGTTCTATTCATGATCAATATTTTTAATTTCAGTCCCATTAAAATTTCAGTGGGTTTATTTTGTCAAAAATTGATGAGGAGATACTAAAATACACTTTAATATAAGAAAGTCTTAAATTTGCCAAAATGCTTTCTAAGGGAGAACAAAATTTTTAGATTGATTTACACTACCTAAACTTACATGACTGGTAGAATAGAATTAATTATTTCCCATTGTAATATAATGCAGCTAATTAATAAGGTGTATTTCTGGCAGACATACATCAATTAGTCATTTCAATTAAAACAAGATGACACTCTCTAAACATGTAATATCTTCAAATATAAGTCAGACAGGATCTTCTGTAGACTTTCTTGAAAAAATAAAGGTGTGCAAAACTTTCCTTGAGTTAATAGTATACATATGATTTACAAAGTTACAGTATTCAAAGCAGCATGTGAATCTAAGGATATTAAATATATTAATGGTACAGAATAGAAAGTCCAGAAATATACTCACTCATATATACAGTTAATGGATATTTGATCAAAGGCACAAAGATATTTTAATAAGGATTGCAGCTGAAATTTTTAAAAATATATACAGAAATATTTAACTTCAATTCTTATAATATACCAGGTGCTAATATGGCAACATTAATTTGATGGGATTAATTGACCTTAATTTAAATGTTAAATCTACAAGTCTTCCAGAGAAAACAGAATAAAATTTTATAATCTTGAGGAAAGCAAAATTTACTTAGGACAAAAGAATTAATTGTAAAAGAAAAAGTTATAAGTATATATTTTATGTCATCAAATTGTAAACATGCACTTTTCAAAATAATTAGAATATATACATTTAATATAATATTTATGATTTTTAGAATATATAAATAGTCCCCAAATTTACTGATCAATATATAAATATCTTTATTTATTTTTTTTTTTTTTGAGTTGGAGTCTCACTCCATTGACCAGGCTGGAGTGCAGTGGCACACTCATGGTCACCCCAGCATCAATCTGCTGGGCTCTGGTCATCCTTC